CTTGTTTTTCGAAAATAATATTGTATAAACATGGTGATTATCGCTGTAATACATACAATCAAAATGTTCAAAAACTGCGATTTAATGTAATATTATATAAAAATGGGAAACATGCATTAGTTAACAACAAGCTTTTGATTTACTTTCAATAATAATTTTATTTTTTTTTTTTATTATTGTTTTTACTTTACAGTCAATACATTAAATATGTCTTAAATGTGAGTGTACCGGTTAGGTTTTGAACTTAAATTCTAAAAATCCGCAATTCACTCTTGCAGGTCATCACCGCAGGTTGTTCGCCAATAATGATACATAATGATACAAGAGTGATTTTTTTTTTTACAGTCATAACAGTTGCAATATTTGTTTTTATCATCATACATGTATATTAGTCAACTACCGAGTTAGAATATATATTATTATATAGATGTGGCACTATTTTAATAAATAAAAAGCATACACAATTCGTATAATATATGTGTGTGTGGTGTGTGTGTGTATTTGTATATTATATGAGTGTGACATATAATAATAATGCTAATTAATTATTTTTTAATCGATCCCCGCGCACCCCAGCCAAGGCTTTGCCTGGGTCCGGAGTCTCACACTCGAGCCGAAAATAATTTATCATGCATCTCTCGAGTATAATTAATAAAATAACGCCACTACTTCTGCAGGACCGTGCAGAGCATTTTTACACGTTCTATCGTGCGCTTTGCTGAAAATATTGTCAACGAATAATTTATATGTGAACGCTCGTTATTAAACTTTTGGACACGCTGTTCTATTATTATTGCTATCATCGTCATCCGAACGAAATATTAATAACTTATTAGATTAAAAATAAGTATCCTGGGTCCACGAGCATAACAGAATACTGTACAATATAAAAACGTACTTCATGCGAAAAATAAACCATAACCACCAGCTACATAGGCAAAATAATAACAGTGGCATAATTTTATTAAATTAAATTCTTAAAAATCATTATATCCAAATCATATTCATCCCTGTGTTTTTTTTTTCTATGCATTTATTTAAATTCTAATTCCTGGTTCCTGGTAATTCTAATTCCAACTAGAATGTGAGTAGACTTGTGTACATATTAAAGGCTTATATATTATTTTTAAATGAGAATCTTTTTTTTATTATAAATTCGATGCTTATTTATTTTAATTGATGTAAAACTACGTCAAAGTTCTTTCGAATAGTTATTGTCGTTATTTACTTATTTAGTTTTATGTACTAAGGAATAAGTTCACTATCATAGGCCTGGAACGTATAGAGATAATAATGTGAAAATGATAGTAATCGATATATTATATCTGTCAACATATTAACATTTTATAGTTTTTGATAATTGTCTGAAAAAATAAACAATTGACAGTTAAAACGATAGTTTGGTAAATTATCTCTAATCATCAAAAATATTTATAAATAAAATATCTTCGATAAAAAATATGTAAATACCCTGCGTAAAGAAGTTTAACTTCAAAAAAATTACTGGAATTTCCATGTACTGTACTATACATAATATAAAATTATACAAATATTACATAAGTTTACATAGATAAAATACATTAAATTATAAAATCAGTCGACCAAAATAATCTGAGAAATGAATTCATTATTGTATCGATTGGTTATTAATTGGGTTCTTATCAAAATTAAATATTAATAGTTTTGATGACTATGAATAAAATATGGCATATTTATCAAATAATAATATTCGTATCATAATAATATGTTTTATATATTTGGTTACTTGTGCGATATTATTAACAGTTTTTTTTTCAAGTACATTGTTAATATTTATCAATAACTAATAAGTATTTTTTTTTTTATTTATAATATATAATTATATTTTAAAATTATTTAAAATATATGAATATGTTTAAATATTTATAAGATATACATAAATATATGTATCTATTTTTTTTTATTTTTTTTTTTTTTGAGGTGTATTGAATTAAGGTATTTTTGATAAATAATATATTATTACCAAGAAATATGTTTTCCTAAAATATTTTTACCAAGATATTTCGACCAAATATATTTTTTTCAGAAATATTTTTACTTATAACTCTTTACTGAGTATTACATAATATTATATTTTATTTTTATCTAAAACAATTTGCTATAGAAATATAATAATCTTTAATACTATATTTTATTTTTTTTTTCTAAATCCATGTTTCTTGTCTACTATATTTAGACTCAATAAGATGTAATATTTTGCTCAATTAATTTTTCAAAAAACTTAAGTAATATGCTTAATCTCAATATCGGTTGTATATGTAATCTAGACTCTAATTTATAAACTGGGCATAAATAATTAGATTTCCAAGAAATAAAAATATTCCTTATGATAAAGATAATTAAAGCTGGAAATTAATTTGGCACATAAAAAAGTAACAATCAATCAAATAAATTATATTCTTAAGACGACTAATGTGAGAAAGACAGTTTTTGAAGAAGAACTATAGCAATAGTCTGAACAATAACTGAGTAAATGCATTTAAAAAATAAGAAACTACTAGTTCTTATTTCAAATACATAAACTTTAAAAAAAAAAAATCTCTGTTTAACAACATACAATAAGAAAGGATAGTTTTTGTTTGAATAATAGAGTATTTTTACTGTTCAAAAATGTAATGGCATACACACAAATAAAAAACAAATTATACAAAAAAATATTAATAGTTTTAAAATCAATATACATTTGTTCATCGTTTTACTCAGAATTTAAAAATTATATTAGATTGTATGTCATTTAAACTTATATTAAATGATATACTTAAAATTTGAGCTTATTATCATTTTATAGAAAGCAATAATTGCTATAGAACTTTAAAATAAAATCTACTTCCGTGATATAAAAATATATATTTTTATTTAATGATTCACGAAGATATTATTATTTTAACACGTATCGATAGATTATATTATGTATACCTATTAAATTATATAAATGATTGAAACTAGAAATTTATATGATTTATAAAGGTTAGGTAACGTATCTTTTAACCATTTATATGTCAAATTTTACGAGTTAATGCGGTTGAAACTTTTCATATAAGATGTTATAGATATGCGATCAACTGAGAACCGAACTGGATGTGCTGTATTAAACGTATAACATATATGTAATATGAATGGCATTTCTGATTCATCAAAGTCGAAACACACTAGATGTTCTTTGAAAAAAAAAACCTCAAAAAAATAAAATGTTATAATAAATGTAAGATAAAATTATTATACAGACAAAATACATATATTATTTCGATTTCCAATATAATATTATGTTTTATAAATCAAACGTTGATGTACCTGCGTACTACACAAAACCTTGAAATGTATATATGATGGAGAATATTACTTTTATTATTATTTACATTCACGAAAATTTCTGCAGATAATTTTGTATTATATTACTTCCTCATAAATATTTTTGTTTTTATTAATGAATAACAAATGGGCTTATATGTCGACAAAATGTCTTTGTTCGGAATCGATATTCGTTTGCAATGATATATTATTGAATTAAAATAGAACACATACATTACAATGACTTAATGACTAAGTATACTCGAAACCTATAATACTACAAAATGGTTACTTACTTTCTTCTGCTTATTCATTTTCATCTTATTTTTTTTATTGATATTTAGGCATTTTTATTGTTTGTAAAATTCAATTTATTTATACTAATAATTGATTTTGAGAGCCAGACTTGAAAACTATATTAATCCTTTAACATAATAATTTATTCATTTCTTCATTAAAATTATAGACTTATTATTTATACATGACAGATATTATTAAATATTTTAATAATTTATTAAGTTAAAAATATATTATATGTTGACATTTGGATAATGTGTAATTTTTCGTTTATGAACGTAAAATATCAATATTATTCTGGTAATGTTAACGTTAACCAGTCAATATTAGATCAAATTAAAGTTTGTGTATTAAATAGAGAAAGAGTTTTTGTTGGTATTATGTATACTTAAATATAAAAATTCACAATAATAAATCGTTGGACTACCGACGTATAATAACTTATCTTAACTTATAATTATTTATCTTAACGATAAATTAAAAAAAAAAAAAAAAAATGAATGTGTCTAGTATTCCAGGTGGCAGATAGGTATAGTATTTTAATGTAATGATATTTCTGTTATAAAAATAATATTATTATATACTGGTATACTATACAATACACGACACCAATTTGTAGTTAGTTTGTTTTCACACGTAATATTCACAAGTCTAATGCCTTTTAGTTATTTTATTCAAACAAATTGGAAACAATAATATAATTGTATTATTTATTTAAAAAATATAAAACGATTAAATAATTTATTTTATTTATCAAATAAAAATAGCTTAAATATAATTAATAAATTAAAAAACAGCAATAAATCTCATCCTTTGAATAAATTTGAAACTACTAATTTCCATCTGAGTGTAAATCATTTAGCAATATATGTGCGATTCAAAATTTTATGGAACATATCATATATACTAATAAAGGATAACACATAATACTATACATAAAATATAAAATAGGTACTCAATATAATTTTGTATCATTAGTAAGTAATTTATTAAAGGAAAACTTATATTTTTTAATGATAATAATAAAATTATATTATTTTATATTATCAATTTCATGGTTTTAATAATAATTATTAATTGTATTTTAAATATATTTAATATTTATAATAATTTAAAATAATTTTATCACATGCGTGAAACATTTTTCTAGTTACTAGGACATTATTAAAAAATGTTTGACTAATATATTATTATCTGGCCAATGCTAATATTAGCCAACATTTTATAATATTCACGGTGGCTAATGATAATATATAGTTAATTTTGTATTTATTTATTTACTAAAAATTAACGGGCTTTGCCCTTTAAATACAAATGGGTAATACAAATAAAGTAGTAAATAGTAATGGTAGTGTAAATAATAATAGTAGTATTACTTGTATATCCAGTTAACTTCGACATTGATACATTACCTGTAACATATAAATGAATAAACATTATGAAATTAAAACTGCAATTATAATTAGATATATTATTATATATTATGATGACTTAAAATAATAAAAATAGGCACTTTTATGACTTTGATCAGATATTGAAAAAATATTGAATAAAACCACTGAGTAAAAATGCAATTTTAAAGTCTTCTCACGCATAATATTAACTATCGAGGTATGTAAGGATTTTTCTATAAGTTATATTTTGTCTAGAAAATAAATTATAACATATTCATCAATGGTGTCTTCATAAATTAGATGCCTTTAAATAGATAATTTTTCGATCTCATCGATACCTATAGTTTGACCGTGAATGTGAGAAAATTTACCAAACACCTTGAACAACGTTGATGAAACGTAAATAATAAATACTGTATTGATAAAATTGACACAGTCCATAATTTTATTTTGTTGTCATTTTAAAAATATAATAGTAATTTAAATCATTCAATACGTCTAATATTAACACAATGATATTATATTATAATAATGAGCCGAAATCCGTCCAAAATCTTGTTTGGACATTTGCAAACACGAAAATTTACTGTATATAATTTAAATATGTATACAGTAGCATTTATTCATTTCATTATTATAAACACCGCATTATACAACTTTTAAAAAGGTATATATTATTTATGTTAACAAATATAATTTTCGTTTGGTTATAAAATTCAATTAAGGAGAAAAAAATCTATAATTATGACGTTTTAAATTATATTAAAAAACCATATATATTTTACACAACGTTTATAGACAATTTTAAATTAAATTTATTATGTTTTATATTTTTTTAATCGGCACTTGATTAATTCAAAAGTTATTTTACAGCCATAATCATATTTAACTGTATATTTTTTTAGGATTCTTAATGAAAACGCCGTTTTCTTAATATGTGAATAACTAATAAGTAATAATTGTATTAATATTAATTCGATAAATGTTAATGTAATAAATATTATTACTATATCTTTTGATTTCATTTTCATGTTATGACATTTATGTTTGGTATTACAATTATTATTTTTAGATTTGATTTGATTTATTTGATTTGGAATTTATCTCAAAATTTAATATAAATAGTGAAGTATGAGAATGGGTTATTTCCCAAACAACACTCAGTAACCGAATAAATTTGAATAATTTTGTTTATAATATGGAACCTTTTTTATTTAAAACTGTGTATCATTATAATTATAATATTATTGTATGAAAGATATTCCTGATTATATATCATTGGAACAACGATACATGACGTATTTTGTATTAATTACTCAGACAATGTTTAGGGAATATGACACCATATGAAAAAAGTAATCAAATGGGTTACGATTTTCAAAAAAAAAAAATGAAACTTTGTAAAAGGAATTTATTTTTTTAAATGAAGAAGCGTAAAAAAAATTGCATATAATTCATAAACAAAGTATTGCAGCAGTTTTGTCTTTATGTCTATTACCTAAACATTATTATATTAGAATGTGTGGGTAGTTTAATTTTTTCCTTTAATATGTGGTCCGTTGAAAATCTTATTCTCATATCTTGTTTATATAGTTTATAATATTTCTATTTATTCAGTATAATTAATTTATATTACTTTAATCATAGAAAGTATAAATTATGCAATATATTATATAATAGACATGCACTTATAATACTCATAAAATATCATAATATTATTAATATTTAAGCAAATATATCAAGAATTTAAGTCTTACTGTTTAGTCTATGAAGTTAATTAAATATATTATATTAATTTAATGATGTAGTAACATAATTAATTTAGTCAACTATTTTATAAATTGCAAAATCTTCATGAATTATTATTATAATTTATGTTAAATTGTTTTGGTGATAAATAATAAATAACTGTGACGAAATTATATATTTTACACACCAACTGGGGGTGATTTTAGAAATAACAAATGTGGTTGGGCGAACACAAACTATGATACACTTATAAAAGTATTATAAATATAAATTAATTACTCATAGCTTTTAAAAATGATAATCAACAAACTTAAAATACATTGTAGGTATTTTTAAATACCTACTATAAAGTATTACATATTTTTATAAATTAAATTAATATAAACGAGAAAGAATCTTTAATTTAAGATTCCATAGCTTCTTCCCAATTGTTTTCATCCTAGCACCAATTATAACTACAAAAGGAAAATACCTCAATGAACGGTAATATTATATTCAATGTCTGCAGCATATAATCGTATGCATTACAATGTATTGTCGTTAAAAAGGTCAGCTAAAAACGTCTTTCAAACTCAAAATTGTGATTTTTTCTTTAATAGCTTTCTAGGCATAATTTTACCATAAATGAATTTTTCACGAACAACGTTAGGGTGGAATAGAACAGTTTACTATTTCTAGTGCCAATATCGCGCCAATAACAGAACACGTAACCGACAGGTAATATGATTGTTTATAAGAATATTATTAGAGGTTATCGTCATTTTTTTGGGACTTTTTAAAATATAAATGCCAGGTTATTGTATTAGTTAGTCAATAGTATAAAAAAGGGCTCGAAGTTTACATCAGAAAAAATATTATATAATTTACTTAAATGCAATACTCTAATATTTAAAAAAAAAAAGCGATTAGCTTATGTTAAAGAAATTTAATAATTATTGATCTTACGTTATGACTCTCTAAATGTATGGTAAAACAAAAATTGACTTAAACAAGTAGCATCAATATAAAAATAATGGTCTTTATGATATTCATCGTATATATTATTCTTTTTATGGAATGAAAATGGTACGAAAAAAAGGAAACGCTAAAATAAAATTACCGTCCGCGACGACTGATAATCGAATTCAAATGGTCGTTTTGATTGATTATCGAGTTAAAAAAAGTACTGAAGTTTTTGAAAATATTTTATAACATTATTTATATGTATTACGAAAAAAAAAAAATTTAAATGAAAAATGAAAAATGACATAATATAATTACACTTTTTTAATAATAATTATTGTTAACATAAACTTTTAATTCCTGTGTAATTCTAAGCAAACTATCTTCAAAAAAAAATCACAATTTGTATGAATAAAAATCTTATATAAATTAAGTATGTGAAACAGTGTGATGCAATGGTCACGCAGCCAACCATGACGCTCATAGTCATCGGTTTTAACTTCGATAAAATGCAAAAAATATTACTTAGTATTTTTAGAAAAGATAGTAGTATGTGTGTTAAACACACTTTATCCCTTTAAAGTGATAAGACTTTAACATAGACTAATAAAGTTGTTTCAATGAAAAAAAATGAAGTATTTAAAGTTTAAACGAGCAAAGAAATGAAAAAATATTTTTCGGGGTGCTTGTGACTTACAATACATTTTATTTTTCTCGTCTAAATTAAAAATACTTGGAATATTTATCGTTAAAAAAATCATTTTTATATTGAGATATTCGATGATGGTGATGTGATCGACTAAATTTAATCACATTCTCTGATGATATAAGACATAGATATATAAACCTAGTAAGGTTACTCAGTCAATTTAACGGATAAAATAAAATGTACGTACATTAAACAGACAATTTTTCTTACCATTATATCGAGTTATTTTAAATAATCCTACTACCGAATACTTTAAGCATTAAGGTACTAATATATAACTTCAGTCTAAACAACTATAATAGACACTAAAATACCTATATATACACACACATTTTCTAATTTATAAAATTTTAAATAAATTTAAGTAACAAATTTTAATAGAAAGCTTCGCATATATCATATAATTATTTGTAGGTATAGATCACAGATAGTAGACGTTTAAATAAGTACGATATATCATTGTCCTGCATAAATTTTGTTTAGTTAAAAATCTGGTTGAAATATAATCGCTAAGAAGATAAATTAAAACAACTAAAGCTCGTTGGCCAAAACCATCGGAAACGATATATTATTATACACGTGCACACGACAATTTCGGCACAAAACTGTTCGTCGATCTAACGAAACAAAAAATTTCGAGCTCTGGGCCTGGGATGTTTCATTTGTTCTCTAAACGAGCTCACGGAAACACGCACACATATGCAAGGCGGGCATTTTACTTTCATCGACCGATAGAAAGCTTTCTCTCTCACTTACACACACACAGCTACTAATATACAGCTGGTAATAACAATGCATTTGCACGCACGTGTCAAAAATAATAGTACCTGTTATTATCACGGTCACTCCGCTGGTGGGTGAAGAGTGCTAATTGGTACTGGTAATTATTATATGAATGGACGGATGGTTATAACTTTATCAACCATAATATTATTATTGATATTGCGTGCGGTATATTATACAACGGCTTAATAAGTTTGAAAGTATGTATCTTATTTAATATTTTGATATTATATGTGTACGTCTCCGGATTGTTTGATCGATAATTATCTCCGATATGGTCGAAAGTCGGGCAGATACTTTAGCTACACGCGCAAGTCTAACGCCAACAAAATTGGTTAAACTGGAAAGCCGGAAACGATATTGACCGTATGACTGCAACAACGACTCATTTGTGCCACAAAAAAACACAATTCGTTTTGACTCAGAGGATTCAATACCAACCATTGCAAGGGTGATCATTAGTGAATGATTCGCACAATATGTTGCCAAATCTGTGGTCAACGAATAATATAGTAATATGTCTCTAAGAAGCTTATATGTTATGTTCAACTTGCTAACGAAGCTAATAATGTCGTAAGAAATTTAAAAATATCATTCAATTTTTTATGACTTTATCAAGTTAACTTAAAGCTAATCAACTCGCTTTATTGATTTTTTTTTAGACCACTGTTTAAGAATTCTTTATTTTAAGATGTTCAAGACAAATTTTAAAAGCAAATATAATTATAAGTAGAAATAAATTTAAGAAAATATACTTAATTTCAGACTTACTATCGAAATTTAAATTTAAATTTTTATGCAAGACTACGATATATAAGTGCGTTTTTTGTCGATA